GAGGTGATAAAACACATAGGAGTAGGTGTTTTATCATCTCTTGCCCCATGACACTGTAGAATTTCTGAATTCTGGAAAATTGATGAAGGCCCTACAGTTGCTTTCAAACAAAAAATAAAAATAAGAAAAAGTTGGGAAATAGATGTCTCTTTTGATGTGTTTCTGCCCTGGTAGTTTCTCATTTGACAACTGTGACGGTTGCTTAAATTCATAGTCATTTGAATTGATAAAACTTGTCACTAACATCATGAAGCACTGGGTACCAGCAGAAAATTTACCATATTGTTCCCCTACAAACTTAGAAAATATGTTATATACAACCACTTATTATACAACTTTTATCTGTGCACTTTTTAAAAAAACCCTTCCTTTAATATGAGCTTCAAATATCCACAGCATCTTGTAAAAGAAACCTAGTCAAAATGGAATTCAGATTAGGTTTCTCTTCTTTTTTCATCCTCAACTTTCCATCACTGCATCCTCAATAGGATTGTTTCACACAATTTAAGTGTGATTTAAAATATTAGTTCAGTGTCATAACCAAAGAATGTTTCTTGTATCTGTTAGCCCCCATTCAAAACAACATACTGGAATAGTTCAAATATTCAGCTATTCAAGCCCTGCAGGCATGTGAGCATAGGGACTGAATTTAGTATAAACATTTTTAAAGACTCTCATACCTATGCAGTATTAGTTGTTACACTAGGAAACACTATATGTTCAGTAGAATGTGTTCTGTAACAAGGTAAGCATCTGCGCTCAGAAACTAGATTGCATAGTTTCCCAATTTGGATATGTGCACTTATATTCAGCATTGTAAATTGTAACCATACTGAAAAAGTATTTTTGGAAATAGATGGATTAGGTAAAATAAGAAGATGCATGACAAGACTTCTCAATTGTTTTACTTTTTTAAATAAGCAAAAAAGTGAAATATAAGAAAATCTGTATTTTTATATGAAGTTGTGACATTAATACAAAAATATATAAGGGCTTTTTTCCACAACTCAGATTCATTACACCTGCAGATATAGATGGATTCTGGAGATGCAAGAACCACAGGCAGTAGTTGCAACATATGTTGATTTTCATGACATGACAATCCATGGGTCTCTACCTCTTAACGAACAGCTGTTTTGCAACAAGTCCTACCAATAAAAGCAGCTGTCAAGTTCCAGATCCTAAAGTAAACCTTGATGTTTATAGAGCCAGGGAAATAGGTACAATGCTGCTTAGCTGTGTGGGCTACATCCTTATAGCACTTTATATTGTAAAATAAATCATGTATTTACTTCTTGCATTTATGTTTTTATGTAACATAGGCCTTAATACTTTAATCTAAAGCACGTATTTAATAGATGGATTTGTATGTTATACTAAAAATAAGCAACAAATATATTTAATACACTTTTTAAATAAATTGTTCTTTTCAGCTGATGTTATCCTTACTTGGCTTCTGATAAAATCATATGATTCATCACTGTTATAGCTACAGCTGCAATCCTATGTCTGCTTTCTTGATACTTGAATTACTACATAAGGCTGTAATTCTAAACATAATCCTAAGGAAAGAAGACTAGATAAACACAGTGTCAGTTATTTCTGAGAAAATATCTGCAAACAAAGTCCTATGCAGACTATGAAGTAAACTGTATTTAATTGGGCTTTTTTCTCAGTATGCTGATGATTATACCCTTACAGTGATGCCTATTCAAGAGCTTATCATAAAATAACTTTGAAAGAACAGAAACCTTATTGTAGTACATCTTTAAGATACAATCCAGTCTCAGTCTAGTTGGGTTCTCATCATAAAGGACGGTAACAGTTTCAACACAGCATATTTTGCTGTTGATTCTTCGGAACAGGTAAGCCACAAGGAGCAGGAACCATCGTGATTTAAAAAGGCCTTTGGGAATCTTTACATGCACGTGCACTACATTTATAATGGAGCTAAACCACCCTAAGGTTTTATGGTACTGCTACACAGAATTTTCTCACTTTGTACTGTGCTAAAGTGCAATAATCCTTTTAAAAATAACACGAGAGGAAGCTTTTTATAAAGAGCACTTCCTAAAATTAAAAAAAAAATGATGCCAGTTAACAAACTTTGCCCCCAAATGACTTCATATCTCGAGTGTATAAGTAATTATCTATGCTGTAAGTTGTAGAGCACTATATTTTTCAAACCAACTTTATTCTGTTGGTTTGAAAAGGTAAGGTAATCTACATATTGAAGAAGAAAAAAGGACAAGGTATTGGTGGCTTGTGACTTTACACTAAAGTATATGTACAGATTCAAAATTGCAAAAGTAGAGAATATTCAACGTAAGGAGGCTTTCCACCCAATGGAGGAGCAATCAGACACACTCTAGCTATCCCACACTGATACCTGGGTTAGGAAGGAAAAGAAACTTATAAAAGAGCCACAGTTTTTATTCTCTTGCTCATGAGCTTACATGGCTGGCAATAAGCTGCCTCACTGCTATTTGTGTACTTGAAACAATGTTACACAAGTTACAGAATTTTCTTCATTTAAGGAAATTCATTGCACTACAAAATGTTTATAACATACTAATGTCCTGGGTTCACTCAAAAACACTACTATTCACAATTTCAGATGGCACTTTAGGAAGCAAATTTCAGTAGCACAAATAAGCAACCTTCTGTATACATAAGCTGTCATCGCTCACCCCAGCTATATTCAACATCTTCAGTGTGTTCTTATTTTGCACATTAAGAAAGCAGGCAGAGTCCTGCTCAAGTATTTCACGTTCTAATTTTTTCATGCCTCAATTCATAACTATCTGGCATTTTGGAAAGAATCAGATCTATTTCACAACCTTACTAAATGCCTAGGAACTTTTTACGAGAGCCTTTTATGAATAATTTCTGTGTAAAAATGCTTTGGCTGGATATCAAGTCTTTGTTCATTAAGGTGGTTTAAATTCATAGTAGACCCTTCTACACAAACCCAGAACATACAAGGTTCCTTAACTGTGATCAGACCCTGTCTTTAGATTACTTGAATAAGGCATTCACTCCACAATGATATCACTAAGTTCTCTTTTTCTGCTTCTGAACCAAGATTAAGGTCCTTAACACACACAGTATCACAGCTCCATATTTGTTTCAGTGCATCCATGTGAGAAAGAGGAAATCGTAATCCATGAGTCTTAAAGAAGAAGAAAAAAGCTTATTAACGAACCAAATAAAATTAAATATTAGCTATGTATAAACTACATACTGACATGTTCTATGAATTAATCTGGTCCAATAGCAACTGTTAGTCAGAGGAATAGCTTGTTGAACTCTGTATACACAATTGTTGATATAACTAGTGTTCCCGGCTAAGGCTCATGCTGTGCATAATTATTGTACTGTGTCATGTACCAAGATGACACACAAAATTTATAAAACCACAATTGTGGAAAAGAACTATATGATAGATATGTTGTCCACACAGAGCACATGAAACCACAATTTGCTAAATAATGGTTTGAAGACAAAGCCACAACTGACTGGGATCGCAAACTGCATTAAGCCATAAATCAAGCTACAAAGACTAGATCCATATAACATACTAAATCAAAATCAATCAAACCACATTATGGCTTAGCACACAGTGTGCAATCATAAATTTACTATAATTCTAGAAAAATGTTCCAAATGAGAAAATGTGTAACATACTTGCTAAGTTTTAAGGCAAAATGATGATCTAATAGCAGGTTTATGAGAAATTGTTTACCTGGGGTTTGGGTTTTGTTTTTGTTTGTTCATTTTTGTTTTTTTGTTATTTTAAGTTTCCATCTTTAAAAGGCGAGTGGCCGTTAAAAATTTTATTTATTTATTTAATAAAAATTTTTAACAGCCAGCTGAAGAGAAGCTAAATTCCTTTTCCAACTGAAACTACTTATACAACTCAAGTTTGCATTATTTGGATTCATATTATCTCAGTTCTACTGCAAACCAAGACGATACCTCTATATTTAAAAAAAATGCACAGTAGGAGAAAACATTCACTGTACCACTCGCGGGAGCAAGACAGCCACTTTATAAAAACAAGAGTGAGTTAACTGAAAAACAATTTTCTTCCTAACTTTACTCTGATAACTTCATTTATTACATGTTTATCTTGCCCATATGCCAAGGATCACTGGGTAGCATATGATGTTTTCCCATTTCAGCTAGGAAAAAAAATGAGTGTCCAAGGATATGACTGTCCAAGGCTACTGAGAATATTTCATTGGTGACCAGGAATTTGATAATAAAACTTTCCAATCAAATGAGAGCTGCTATAGTATGTAAGCTAATCAGCATACATTGATATATCCATGTATGCTGATTTATATATAAACCTTACCCCCTAAATATCTGAGCCTGAAATAAGAGTTATTATTTCTGTTCTCACCCTCTAAAAACGAAATGTAGGAGGGCATGTTTCATATCCCATCAGTTAAAGAACGGCATCTTGTGGGACCCCAGAAGCCGTGGCATTCACCCTCTGGAACACCTTACCACCTGAGATCAGATTGGCCCCAAGCCTGATGGCCTTCCAAAAGCACTGAAAACCTGGTGGTTTGCCCAGGCATGGGAGTCGGGATCTTAGTGAGGCCTGGGTGGTTTGTCATTACTTTGAGGTTTGCCACTTCTTTCTATCTCTGATGATACTTTGTGTTCTATAATTATTTTTATTGTTCTTCCAATATTAAATTCTCTTTGTCTCTGTTACTTTGTGGTAACTTCTGTACCAGTTACTTTGGTGAGGGGGTGGCCATGTAAGTCAAAATACATAAATAAAACTTCAGTAGTCATCCTGAGAACATATACAAGTGGGGCAAAAAAGTATTTAGTCAGCCACCAATTGTGCAAGTTCTCCCACTT